CACTGGTAAGACTCCATTAGCACATTCCCCTTGATGCCTAGGACAGAAGACAAACCCTCTTCTCTCCTATTTAGGCTTACACATGGTCTGAGATACCGTAGCCTGCCATCTACCCAAAGTGCAAAGTGACAGTACAATGGCTATATCTTAACTGTCAATATCAAATGAAGATCTAAGTCATCCCTTTAAAGATGGCGCATACAGATCCAGCGCCTGGGCAAAGAGCATGCTGATGTAGAAATAGTGGCGACATCCAAGTAGGCACATTCAGAGTGATTCCGTATCTGGAACCTGAAAAAATACGGGAGGAAAACAGTGATTACTAAATAATCTCTACTACTGAGCCAAATATTTTAGCTTGCTGTAAAACAAAACTTCTGCTGAAGTAGTTTCCAGTTGACTTTGGTCCCTTGTGATATTGCGGTTCCAGATGCTAAAAGCAAGGTGAGTGATAAATCACATTACAAAAGCCTTTTCAGCTCATGCAGTGTTGCATGAATCTCTGTTTCTATGAACAGTCCATAGCAGGTATCATACAATAATGGGAGGAAAGACAAAAGTCAGCTTATGATATACCATGCCTAGAATTGCTGATGTCATAAATGCTCTGGAGAGCAAGACAAGGGGAACTGCGCTCTGATGGGCCTGATGCAGAGCTACTGTAACCCACACATTTTCTAATATAAATAGAGGGAAAATCTGTGTTGTCTGCAGGTTGTGACAAATTCATTAAAGCAGGTATGATTTTTCTTATGAAGCTGCTTAATCCATCTGAAGATGATTATTCCCACATACCTGTCACTTTGTTCTCTTTCATCCCTAAAAAAAAGTATGCGATTTGCTAGATACTGTGTGTTTCAGGAAGACGAATGCAAAGTATCACATTGGAAACCAAGAATTCCAAAGATCTGAAAAGAGACTGAAATGTCTATACTATGTACCAAATAATATGCATAAATTAAGGTATACAGGGATGACCAATAACATCATCTTGATGTGCTGAGCTACTAAAAAACCCTTCTTGAATCAGGGATGTCTCTACATTGATGCTGTTGGAGTTAGATCAGTAATACCTGCAAAGAGTTCATTTTCAAAGACAGGAAGAAAACCAATCCAGATAGAAATAACATTGTGCAGTAAACCCTAATTCCACATTTGCTTAAGTACATGTTAGACAAACACAAGGAACTTACGTGTCCACCTTCAAGGGAATACCATTCTCCCAGTAGAAGCTTTCACCCTTCTTGCTCAATCCAATCCAGACGTCATCTATTTTCAAACGCTTAACTAAAGAATGCTAAAAAAAAAAAAAAAGAAAGAAAGCATGTTTGTCAACATGAGCTCTCACAATAAGAATCAAATCCCTCCTGTGACTTTTGAGGACTAGTTTATCACTGTCTCGTCTAGAACACTTTCGCAAGCATTTCATTGAAAGTTAAGAGCCTAATTCTGCTTTTGAATTGACCTTTATAGGTATCATAAACTTCAGTAAGTTATACAATTCTATAGCCCTGAAAATTATTACTGTTCACTACACACAAAACCACCCAAATACTATGTATTGGTTGTGTCTGACTATATATATTTACCGTTCTCAACATATTCAACTTGGTCTAAAAATGGGAACTCCTCCCCTTCCCAATTATTATTTAAATAATTTAAAGTTTTTTATCTTTGAATGTACAGATAAAAAGAGTAAAAGACCGTTCGCTGCTCCAGAAGTTTGCAATGACCTGTATCAAACACAGCAAAGAATGATGGAAGGTAACAGAAACAGCACTCATAATGGGTCAGTATTACAGAACTCCCTGCAACAAGCCACCATTAGACTCAGCGAACTTAAAAATTATATAAATATTAGCTGTCAGCTAGTGGGCTCTAATGGACATGGAAGGAACGAACCCTTATACTCCTCCACTCTCCCCTAGCAACTTCAGTTCAAAAGAAACTGTCTCTGTATGGTACTAATGCCATTTCTACAGTTTTTGGTGTACCTTCTTCTGGTGTGGCTCACAGTACCCAGTGCTGGAGACCAGACAACACATACCACACTTATCTAACCCCGTAGACCAATACCTGCATTCCTGTGCTTTTCATTCATAAGTTGAGTTTACAGTTTGTAGGTATGAAGTTTTTAAGCAGCAGCTTAAATAATGCAAATTTCTGCCTAGCCAATTATCAGCTGAATACGACAGACACCTAATTAAAAGTGAAGCTTTTAGATGCCTAAGGAAGAGGGGCATTTACAAATTTGGTAAGAGGTGATCACTCACAGGGCAGCAATGCAGAAGGGGCTTGTGGAGAGGGGACAAGCTGGCAAATATGGTTGGAATTATTGGCAAAGAAAGGAGTCTGATGATGGGATAAAATGAGAGACCACATTCAATAAGGGACTCACACATGAAGTAAGAACTACGCCCTGCATCTTCCCCTCTGTTGAAATTCTTGCCGCTGTATAAATACTTATTAGCTCAAGTCAAATTCATATGTGACTTAACCTGTGTAATTTCACGGAGGTTTCCTCCATTTCAGTATCTGCTACATCACTAATATGGACCAGCCAACCAGAAAAGTAGCCTTTTGACCTTTATTCAACAATCACAGTAATGATAAAGTTCAAATGCCAGTCTACCTGAAAAACTAACTTTCTGATGAAACTAGTTTCTCACTGACAATACTCAAAAAGACAGCAGATCTCTAAAAGCATACTACAGTTTTAGTAGCATGCAATAGTAAGATGTCACTAGCATTCACCAACTCAATGCAACTGCACCATAATACAGGCAAATCGAAGTACTTTAAGAAACTTATCAGCATGAGAAAATGTCCAAACCAGCTTCAGCAGGGGTATATTCCCACCATCGGTATAAATGTGTCTCCAAGGGGCACTAAGGCATATCTAAAACCATATGCAAGCCGATGAAGATCGATAATTTCCACTATGCGGAGAAATAGTTTTAAATGTCTAGTTTCTTAGAGACACCAAAGTATCTATTAATTTGTCTGTACTGGGAGTTGGACAGATTCATACCTGCTTTGAAGATGAAGGTCCATAGGACAGAAAAGTAAAACTAGGGAAACTGACTTATAACAAAGAGCTTTTCATAGTCATTCAGGTCAAACCCAGGCACCAAAGCAGCGTGGGGCAGCTGGTACTGCTGCTGCAGCCAGACAGCTACTTTACAGTGACAAAGCAGTTACTTTTCCACTACCTGAATCCACACAGCTTACTTATTTTACAAAGATTTAAAGGGCAAGTATCACATGCAAAAAAAGTGAAAGCTTTGTCAAGGACAGAGAGAGATACAGAAGTTGTGTTCTGTTTTGTTGTTGGGTTTTTTCCCCATTACCATTTCTTCCCGGTTTTCAAAAAAGGCTAGGAAGGATTCATTCTGAGTGCAGAAGGTCTGACTAGATGTCCAGTTCTTCTCCTCTTCTGAGATGAAATAACATGTATTTTTGTAACCTATCCACTCGCTGGGGCACTGTTGAGAAGGAATTTTTCTGTGGCCACAATTTACAACTGCAAAGGAAAAAGAGAACAAAATTTCTACCTGGTAAAATCTTAGCATTCATGAGCATAAGTCAACCTAAAATGCAGCTTTTTTTGAAAGCCCATGCCACACTAGATGCCAGAAGAGAAGCCAAAGGAAAAGCAAGGGTCCTGACCTTCCCTGCCTTTCAGGCACTGTCTTCAGCTGATAAATGTGGAAGTTGGGGGCTGCAGTCTAATTATCACAATTAGTAGAAAATAGGTAGGGTTTGGAAAACATCCTTGAATTTTAGAGAATTAGAGGCATTGACAATTAATGATTTATACTTGACACATTTTAAAACCAGTAATAGATTAATAAACCTCATACCGTTAATTTATTGATCAAATTCATTTTAAGTATTGAAGTTGCCTGAATATCTGCAACTGGTGAGATATTTCATGCAGATGAGTTGCTTTGACTTCGTATCAGACCTTTTAAGTGTTTGATAAATCTGTGTGAAGGTAAGGAAATTAGGTGTTGATATGAGGCTAGTGAAATTTGTCTGTTAATGAAGAAGTAAAAATTACTATTATCTGGAGATAATGGTTTGGAGAATGGTTCATTGGAGTTGTTTCTCAGCATGTTTTGATGCCCACTTTTCATCTTCTTTCTGTCACAGCAGCAGCTGTGAGGGCGAGAGGACTCACTGGCATGTTTTGTTTCAGTGCCGAGTTTAATTTCTTGCAATGAAGACAATTAATTTGCATTTACTTTGTTTTCTATTTTCCAAACAAAAAGAATCTGCCCTGATTGTTACTGAATGGTTACAGTGACCTTTTCTGTGCAGCATGGTGTCTTTTGTAACACACCCAGGCTCACCCAGTGTATGAAGTGTATTTCCTGGGTCATCCTGCTGGGATTGAATCCAGAGCTTCTGCACCCGAAGTGCATTTTTCCACTGCTTAAGCTTGGAGATGGCTAATATTGAAATGAAAGTAACTGACCGTTATGCGAGTAGAGGGGCGTGCAAGAAGTGCAAGGATCTCCCGGATCTCCAGGATCTTCCAGAGTCTGCAGCCTGCTGTTGCCACGCTTGCTCTCTTTTCCTTTCTAACCAGCTACCCTCTTTGCTATATATAATTGGAGACCACTTACCAAGTCACTTGTGACCACTGCCCTCACCCCCTCCAAGAAATGTGACTGATTCCATTTAAATAAAAGCCCAACAAAGCAAAGGAACATCAACAGGGACAGATGTCACTATCGTCCTCCATTCATTTCCATGTGGGAGGACCTCGCTACTATACTTCATGCTGTGGCAGGGGGCAGACTGAAGATATATTTAATGCAGAGATTCAACAGCTTCCAGTGCAGATGAGGCTGTGAAGCCTGCATTGAGATACACATGCACTCAGTGACTCGGACACCTCAGGTAATACTGCAGGCAGCACAGCCTTTGCTCCTATAGAAGAATTTTGCGTGGGACAGCGGGAGCACATCCGGCCTCCACTGTGCCAGTGGCAGGTAGGGCTGAC